GGGGGGGGGGGGGGGGGGGGGGGGGGGACACGGTTGGACACAAACACCACCGAGGTTGACGTTGTTTGCTCCGGTTTAACCGAGGACATGGCGAGCAACCCCACACGCTCACCTCGCGCTGCAGGCGAAAGAAACCTCTCTCTCTCTCTTTATTGTTAATTGTACCCGGAAGTCAGAATGGTACGGAGAACTGGCAAATTATCGAGCGATGTTGCAACCTATTTCGATCCTCATGGGACGCGTGAATTGGTGCCGTGAGCTGTGAGACGAGGCCTGCACCAGCAGCAACTGTATCTACAATACTTGTCAGGACACGTCATCTGCCCGGTTGAGAGCAAAAACCGTGCCACATACCAAATCGTTTTTATCGGCGCGCAGAGGAAGTGGCGTGCTTGAGGTCTCTCTACTGGTTTCATTCGTATAATAGCAACCCGCGGTCTTTGAAGGAGTACCAGCGGTGACAAAGGGCTCGACGACGTGGTTTCAGCGGCAAAAAACAGGTGGAGGCTGGGTGGAAACGAGCGTTTCCCGGCTACTGTAGATGATACGGTTTTCGTCAAGTTGAGCAGCCTGCAGCACCGGCGGTGGCTCGGGCGACAGATCCCCCCCCCTTCCCCGTCACTATCAAAAAAGTAAAATTGCAAACCCCACACTGCAATAACGTACAACCTTTCCGGACTTTCCCTTTGCAGCGGGAGCCAGGGGGAAGGAGGGCACCCCTTTTGTTCCGGGCTGGCCCTGCATGTCCTCTATCACAACCTTCAGCAGCTCCGCCCACTGCTCTCCGTCCATCTCTATCACGGACACGTCCTGCCATGGGTAGAGCCCCAGCAACAAGGACACCCAGAGAAAAAGGAAACAGAGGAGGATTGTTTTAGAGGAAAAAAACTGAGCTATATAAACTGAGCTACACACAGTTTCGCGTGCTACCAACAGCAGCAAAAATCCCAAAAAGACCACAAAAAAACACCTCAATTACCGCGGGCGGCCCGTAAGGACCCGCCGTCGAGGGGGCCCCGCAGGCGAGAAAGATGAAGTTGAGGAGCTCTTGCATGGCCTTGTCGCTGTCCTTCTTGTAGCTAGAGACCTGCACAAAGCATGCACAAACAAGACACGGGAAATCGGGCATGCACAAACAAGTACGTAGTGTCCTCCTTTGGATCGAACACTTGCACAAAGCGCGCGTGCCCACGGAAAAGAAGGCATACGAAATCGGGCATGCTCTCAAGTCTTGCGCAATTAAACTACACGTGTGCTGCTTATTTGCGAGAATATATATATGGGCGGACACAAAACAACGTCTCATGGACGAGACGAGCTGAGATAGGAGCCACCTACACCCGAAAAAACAGGGTGGTGCCAGAGAACGGCATGCGGCAGCAACGCGGAGGGATACGCGTCCCTTGGGTGGGTGCCGTGGGCTCGACCTCTTACCCTTGTATTGGGGCATCCGCAGTCCGCAGTTTAGCGTGCCAACAAACGCAAGGCTATGGCTGGACGGAAGGGATAAAACTAAGATAGGTTTGCAGCGAAATCCGCAACACCGATTTCTCTGCGGGGATGCATACCGACATTGCGGGTACAGCAGTATATCCACACCGTGCACCGGCGTTCCAGGATGTCGAAACAGGCGTGCGGAACAACAAACAAGAACAGACTCGGTCTCACAAAAGCAGGAACGACACGAGCAAAAAATGAAAGGCATAGTCGCCCGTTGGTTCGAGGTGTGCAGCGAACCCTGCTGCTAAAAAAAAACAGGAGGTATTGTCGGCGCTCTCAGAAAACACGTCACCCGAATGCATCGCGATGGACCCCCAGTCACTACGTACCACCTTCAATTGGCGTCTTTCGTTGTATTGGGGAAATTCTTCATTGGCACAAGCTAGCGGGTCACCGTCGGACTGAACCGAAAACGAACTGGCGGAGCAACCCGGGACAGGGAGAAAACGGGCACATAAAATAACATGCCAAGCAGTGCCACGGGTGGCTGTATACAGCCTGTGTGACCACCCCTAAGATCAACACCACAAGAGCGTTTCAAAGCAACGAAGAGAGCGAAAGAACACTTGAGGGCCGGGTCTGGCTCACCAACCGGTTCTGGCTTGACCTACCAAGAGGGCTGACTGACCCCCTCAGCAGCGGCTGCCGGGCCAGCCGGACAACGAGAGAGAGAGAGCGAGAGAGCGGCGCTGTGCTTCTGCGCCTGGCTTCTGTGGTAGCGATGCATGGCTGGCCAACTTTACACCAACCACAGGAGGAGGACCATTGGGGAAGGAAAATACCGCTAGTTTTTCTCGCGCCAGAGCATAGCGACGGAGGGCTCGCTCACGCCACGGCAATAGGACCACCCGAGTCTTGCCGAGTCTGGTTCTTGAGCTAAAGCGGTGCAGGGCTCTGCCTTTACGACAAGGGGAGGATCATTGGGGACGTACAATACCCTTGCCCTTACCCTTACCCCTACCCTTACCCAGTCAGACACTACCGATGAGAGTGCGGTGTCGTTGCGGAGAACCGCCTCCATGAGGACGTTCTCCGCCCCTCCCCCGCCCATCCCGCCGCCGCCGACTCTTCCTCCCAAGACGGTTCCGGCTTCTCCCTCGCTCTCTTCGCTGTCTGCTTCTGCTGCTAATGTCGTCGCAGCCTTCCGGGAGGTGGGGATGCCGCCCGTGGACTTGCGTCCTCTCGCCTTCTTCTGGGGCACACAGGCAACCAATCCACCCACCAACAGCAACGAAACAAGGTGGTAGCAAAACGACGTTGCAGCAGGCCAAATCAACGTCAGACGGACGGAAGATGTAACTGATGGTGGAATGAAGGAAGGTGCGGGACCATGGTGTCCCGAGCACCCCGTGCTGAGAACAACCGTTCAGTGATGGTATTTATTCACCGTCAACACGAACTCAAAGCAGACATGTGGCCAGACACTCTTAACGAGAACGCGGGAAACGAGACAAGCGCTAAGGCTTCTTCGCACGCGGACTAAACAACGGATGCACTCATAAAGAAATGCAGAGACAAAGTCTAGTGACAGGAGCTCCTGCTTCCTGCTGCTTTCTTTCTCCCCGTAGGCGCTCCTCCAACAAGAAACAACTTTCGAATTAGATAGTGCCGGTTGGGGGGGGTACACCATTGGGACCGGCACACTGCATGGACGAGTTTGAGTCGCAATGGCTGTCAAGCGGATTGATCGGGAACTCCTTGCTACTTTTTGAAAATTCCCAGCACCAAAAAAAGGCTATGCACACCATCCTGGAACAGCAGCCTAGAACACCTGAAAATACTGCACACTTTCCCTTACTTGGAGGGCAGCAGACGAGGTTAATGCTCCCAACATCAGCAGGTCAGTCCCTCAAGCTTACCAAGATCAAGAAACCCACTCGAACATCGGAACCGGCCGGTAGGCATGGAACCTAGACTTGAGAAAACTCACACTCATGAACACATAACAAGCACACGAAATGAAGGGCAACGGAACAGCAGTCGCACACCTTGCCCTCGGTGTTCTTTGCGCCCCGGGAGGCGGTTTTCCCGGAGGGGGCCGGGGGCGCGGAGGCGCGGCGGGCGGGCTTCTTTCTGCTCGGAAGAGGGCAGAACGGGCAAGGAGCGCGGTCACACACAAAAACAAACGTGAAGCTCGTTAGGTAGCGTTTGAGTGAGCACTACGTTTGAAAGACCTCCGAGGTTCGTGAGCGGAAGATTTGACAGGGCTGGAAAACATGTGTCCATGTATGGTCGAACGAGAGAGAGGGTGCGTGGTCGGTAATAGATGGTTCGTGCGAACACGTGATCTCTTTCTCTTTTTGTGCGAAAACGCGAAAATGGAGGAATATATATTCTGCGATGGAACAACTTAGCTCGTGAAGGAGAGAGGGGGGGAGAGATTTGGGGGGCGAGAAAGAGATAAGGTAACCAGACAGCCAGCGAACGAAGACACAGCCACAGTACAAGAGCCACACAGAGGGGTTGGGGACCTCGTGTCTGGACGTCGAGATTCCTGGGGGGGGTCATGTCGCAATCTACGGGGGCCTCAAGTGTATAGGATTTAGTATGGTCTCATACTGTCCTGGTGTTAGTATGGGGGCGCCCATTGTATTCGGTTTAGTACCGGTCTTGGGTCGGGGGCCCCGTGTGTAGGTGACAACACACGAAAGGAGAAAACCAACAATCCACCCCAGGAGCGCACACGCAGCGCGTCTTCAAGACACACCTCTCCGACACACAAAACCGTCTTCTTTCGCAAGCAGGCGTTCACATGCCTCCCCGGTGCCGCATTAAACGCCCCCCAAAGCTCGACAAAAGCAACACACACAGCACGGAGCCCGCCAGCACAGCAGCGTACGTGCTTCACGTGCCTTCGCGGAGCACCACCCCCTTGTCCGCTCGACAACAATAACCGCGGCGCCCCCCGCAAGCGAACACAAAAACGCCTCTTTTCTTGCTTAAGACGGCAAGGACAAGGATTGGTGGTCAAGCGTCACGCACAGGCCAACGTTCAAAATCAGGACTGCAATCTGCAGGAAACCCTGCTCCATCCCTCTTCCTCCTTCTCCGTTTCCTCCGCTCATTTCAGAGCAGCAGCGGAATCGCAACGCGACGAGCGGAGGACCGCCGTCGGGGGGGACGCCGTCTCACTGGCCCCTCTCCGCCCGAAGGCACAAACACGTGCAACAAAAATAGGCGGCGTACCTCTTTCTCAACGCCGACTTCTCTTGCGGGTCTTCCTCTTCCTCCTCCTCCCCCTCGTTTTCCTCTGCCCCCTCTTCCTGCTCTTCCTCCAAAGCCCGGCCGTCGTCACTGCTGCTGCCGCCGCCGCCGCCGCCCCCACGCGTTTTTCTCGCTCCACCCCACCCCCTCCCCTTTGCCGCCGTCGTCGTCTTTGCCCCGCACGTGCCAGCGGCCGTCTTCTGCTTCTTGTTGGGCCGCCGGCCGCCGCTAGGAGTCCTGTTCCTTCCTTCGTCTTCGCTCTATGTAGAAACGGGGAGAAACGAAATACGAGATAAGGAATAACGACAATATGTTGGCGCCAACAGCAGCAGGCAGGCGTATCATCTGCCTGCCGCCACATCATCCTCTCTCTCTCTCTCTCTC